TGGTACCGTCTCTTCTACCTCTTTCACGCCGCAGGCAGGAGGAGACTTTCTGTGCCGGTCCAGGGTCTGCCTGCTTTGATTAAACCTCAGCCCTTGGCTTTCTCCATCTTTCTGAAAAGTAAAGTTTGTATGGTTTTGGGCAAACTACTCCAACTTACAGTTTCTTCCTGTGTCAGTATTCAACCTGCAAAGTAAAAATGCGAGGCTAGCAATCATCGATTTTTTTTTTTTTTTCTTGTTGTTTGCAATTAATAAGAGCTATTGAAAGTTCTTGAGACTTAAAGAGCATGTTGTTGATGTATTCAGGGACTTGTCATGGGTCAGAATTGTGGGTGTGATTGCTGTTTCTGTGGCACGGGAACACTTCTTTCCAAGACCTGCTTTTTGTGTTTGGAAGTAGGTTCCCTCGTCTCCCCCATCAGAGGGTATAGATGGGTAAGACGATCTGTAATGGAACACAAAGTTTGCGCCTATTATGAGTGTGTTGGTTTTGTTTTGTCCCTTTTTCCAAAATAGGTGGTAGTACAGCAGCAGAGGCAAGCTACTGAGTAAATTTGGAAGTTTCAGTTAATTTTCTAACGAGTTGATAGCAGTAAAAGGGACATTGCTACCTCTTAATGCTGGGGTGTTTGGGGGGATTAAAACCAAACAAAACGTGAAGACTGGTCTCTTAGGCTTGTGTGGCCCCTGCAAGGTAGGGTTGATGTACTTCCTCCAGCACAAAAGTTTGTGTTCTTTCCAGTGATGTAGCGCATAAATACATTGGGACTTCAGTTCTGTTCATTAGCAGTAAATTTCTCAGTTGAAGAAAGCAAATTAGATGTGATATTTAAAAAAAAAAAACAAACAAAAAAACTTAAGAACTGCATTTTTTGTTTGTTTGTGTGGTTTTGGTGGTGTGTGTGGTGGGTTTTTTTTTTTAATTTTTAACTTTCAGGTTAATAGAGATATCTTGCGTTTGCAAGGTATTTCAAAAGCTTACAAGAGCTAAACTTAACATACAGATATTTGGGCAAACTGTTATTCCAAAGGAGAGAGAGGAAAAAAACAAACAAACAAACAAACCATGCACATAAATTACTGAAAAAGATAAAAGTAGCAGTGAGAATATCATATCTTCAGGTTTAATACCCACTTAGTATCTCACTCCTTCCTGCTACTTCGTAATTTCTGAGACCAAAATAGATGCTGAGATGATCAATCTCAAGCTCCAGCAGAACTAAAGTTAAATTCTTTCACTGAAGAGCTGCTAGAGAGTATATATTGGCAATTTGTTAATAGATTGATTTGCTTTTGAGGGGGTGCTTATCTAACAGGATCTCAATTTCTGAAGTGGGCTTTCAGTCGTCTTTTGTCTCTACCTGGTGGTAGTTTGTGATGAGGTTTTAGGTGCTCGTCTGCCCTTGTCAGGGTAACTGAAGCCTGTGGAGACTGTATACATGAAGCCTGTGGTCTCTCATATACACTGAAATTTTGGATGTAGTCTATCAGTGCTTGACTAAGTCAAATGCCTCAAGATTTGAAAAGGTATTTATAGAACATAAGAAAATCTTTGATTTACTAGGGCACAGTATAGTGCATAACCAGTTGCAAAAGCAAGCAGGATGCTGAGCCTGAAAACCTGTTTTTTTTTCTGTTGAAAAGTTACTTGATTGGCCATGTTCTGTAGGACGTACGTTGTTTATATGCCCTTTGAGAAGCTGGCATTTCCCTTGAGGTGCATGTAATTAATTGGCTGTTAGCCACAGGAGATATTACAGGATGCTTTCAAATATATGAATTATATCTTTCTTGGCAGAAAAGGTAGCTGAGTTACTAAACTATCTAAGAATATTTGAATGGTTTATAAGCACAAATAATTTAATCAAATTATTATGGGAAGATTAGTAGTATTGCAGTGGACTACCAGGTACTAACAGCACAACTGAAATTCTACCATATATTCAGTAGTTCATTTACATGAATGACATTTACAAATGACTCCCTGTATAATGTGGTTAAGGGAGATTTTTTTTTTTGTTGTTCTGACGATATCTTTTCAGCGGCTCCACATCTCCTGTGTGTGAACAGACTAAAATCTGAAGTGGTACGTACAGTTTGTGTTGACAAAGTCCAGCAAATCTTCTGACATAACCAAGATAGAGATGCGTGAGTTGGGAATCCTAGAGGAATATTGGACTGAATATAGGATTTTTTGTGTGTGCGTATTTACTGAGTGTTAATGGTCCCTTTTTAAAAGCTTTATCTGACATGAACTTAATTGCTAGTTTGAAGTTGAAATTATGGATTATGGCCATCCATGCAAAACTGACTTTGAATAAAAGCTAGAAGGAGGGGTTTGAAATACCAACTGTCCTAGGAACTGCATAAAACTCTTAATCTGGTGCTTTTAAAGACTTTTAGTTAAGGTGTCTGCACTTCTAAGTCACTTTTGCTGATGTGGAAGTACTTAAATTGGAAGCGTGCTGGCTTCTAATCTTTAAAGGGTATGGCAGATGAACATGAGATGAACATATCTGTATAACTTACATGGAATAGGTCAGTGCCTGGTAAATCTTTTCAGCATGAACATCATGCTAAAGGGCATAGCATGAATGTGTGAGATTTCTAAAACAAGGATCTCTGTGAGCTACAATTCATATGGTTATAGTAGTAGACTGCAGTACTCTTACAAGTAATCTACATATTAATAGAACATGAATTTTGCATAATTCTTAACCAGTGTTTAAATGTTTGTTTTAATAGAGTGGTAACACTCCTTTCACTAATTCTGTGAGCTTGTTTAGTGGAAGAATTCTATTCTCCTGGCTGTCATAAAGGCTTGTTAGCTACGTGTGGTGTTGAGAACAAATTGGCTTGACTTATCCAACTGCTAAGTATCAGCTCTTATTTAAAATGGGTAGAAGTGCAGTAGGGAGGAGGATTAAAAACCTTCATTGGAGTTTGTTTTGACTGTGTGGCTAATGAAACCCTGGGTTTAGATACAGCTTGACAATGAAAAATAAACTCTTGCTTTGACCACTGTTCTGGGTGAATGGAGAATCCTCCCCTGAATTTGAAAGCACCACTCTGTTGCAACCATCATGTCTAGAACTGTTCTTGCATCACGTGCAGTAGTGACCTGTGCTCTACGTGTTTATTCTGCAGTCTCAGTCATCATGCTTGGCTGTTACTAAGGCAGTGAAGGTGCAGAAAGATCATTCAGTTTATACTGGAATTGAAAACCTGCTTTGTGGAATGAGTGGGCCACTGGCTCTTCCTTAGCTCAGATCTGTATTGCTGTCTGTTCCTGCTGCTGTCTAGAAGTTGTATAGTGGCATCACTGCAAAACTGAGGTGATTTTGTTAAGTTCTGTGTCGTGTTGCTTTTGTGTAGAATACTGGCTTTCAATGGGAATTTACAGTCTAAAAATAACATCTCTTATTCCCCTGTTTGTTGGAAACAGGAGCAGGACAGGTGTTTGCCCACAGAAGAAAGCCATACCTTTTGTGGTGTAGTAAGGAGATAAATAGGTGTTTATCAGTTGCACAAGTAGGAAGTCTGAGCACTTTTCCCATTACTAATAGTGTTTCTGTTGTCAAGCTACTGTCAAAGTTGTTTCTAAGATGTGGTTCAAATATAAAACACAAGGTGGGGATAGTATTTTGTAGGTCAAGTCCAGTAACTAAGAGGTTGTTGACATGGGGAAACTTGATGTTACTCCTGCTGTTAACTTCTGCAGGGTGTGCAAAAACATGTCTTGGCTACAGTAGTGAAAATCAGAGGCCAAAATATTTCCTGAGTTGAGCAGGGCTTATAAACAGATAATATAATGTGTTGTTTACACTACAAGTAAAAGTTTATACTAAAAGCAATTATTTTTGTTTTAGAGGGATTCTGAATATGTCTGGCATAGCTCTTAGCAGACTTGCACAGGAGAGAAAAGCCTGGAGGAAAGATCATCCATTTGTAAGTATGAGAACTGTCACATTTCTGACTCTGCAGTTATTTTGGTGTTGTTATGATGATTTTTTTTTCCTTTACCCTAATGTGATTTTTTTATTATTAAATTATTTTTTTAAATAAAAAAGCTGCTTAAAACTATGTAGTGCAAAAAGAAATAACTCTGTGTAAAGATAAAATATGTCATGAAGTATTCTAAGTACATTTTCTGAAATCCTCACCCTTTGGCTTTTTGCCTTAATTCAGGGATTTGTAGCAGTACCTACAAAAAATCCAGATGGCACAATGAATCTAATGAACTGGGAGTGTGCTATTCCAGGAAAGAAAGGGGTAAGACTTACTGTTGTCCTAACATCTCACTTATGGTGAAAAGTAACATAAGCCTGCTCACGCATTACACTGACAACTGAGAGTATAACTTATGTGTAGTTTAATAGAAATGCTTGGATCCTGCTGCTACTTTAGAATCTGGGTGGAGTGGGCTAAGAATGATACTGGACAAAATACACTATGAGCCTGTTCAGCTGTTGGCACTGACCACCTTAAGTATGAAAGTTTTCAGAGGAGTGTGTAAGAATCGTGCATTAAGCAAATTTGAGATTGTCTTCTGCTTCATGCCAGGGTTTATTGTGACTTCTGTTCTTACTAAATGCTGGTTTGTGCCCTAAAGCTTGAAAATTAACACTACCAAAATGTTGCTTCTGTTGGTTAACTACCGGTACCTTTTTTGTCCACAAAATAGTGAGACCCTTCAGTCCTAGAGAACTGTAGCATTGTTTTTAACTTTTTGGATTTCATGGAAAATAAATCTGCGTTATCAACACGGAATGTCATTGCCTTCCATTTTATGGAATTTTCTCTTTTTGTATTAGGAAAAGAAGAATAGAACTCTCAAACATTGTTTCTTTTTATCTGATTTCACTTGTGCTTCTGTGTCCCTTTCCTTAAACTAACAAGGGAAAGGAAAAAGTCTGTAGAGACCAGAATTGTTTATTTTTATCAGCTTGATCTGGTTCTAGGGGATAGGACAAACACAAACTTTCAAGTGGAAATAATCATCAATGCATGAAACTTGTTTGATTTTGTACACTGCCATTATAACAGCTCATTCTGAGCAGAATCTTGTTTCTATTTTTCAAGATGTTACTTAGCATGTAGAGATTATTCTTGAATTCATTGGATGCAGTTGTTTCTTCTGAGATAATACTATTAATTATTTGATGCTTTTCATTCTTTTGGGTCTTTAGTGTTTTGCATTGGATGTGTGACTACTTTTGTTGCTTCACCTGTTCTACTGCATTTTGCCAACTTGCTTAAGTCCCCTTAAGATCTCATTTCTTAGATCCTGAGAAGACAGTGTCTTCTGCAAAACCTGCAGGTTCTGTACTACTGCCTCAGTTCAATGCTGAACATGGCATTGCTGTTATGGTTATAACTTAGCTCAATGCTTTGGTAGTTGTCCATACAACTCAAGTTAGTTCTTAAAGAAGCACCTAAAAATAATTTGATAGTGTAAGGAAAAACTCATCCCCTTGTGTTCTGCCAAAACAAGATTACCCCTCATAAAAGCCAGTTATGTACCTTATCAAGATGTCACCTTTAAATACTTAGGTAAAACCTTCATGCCATGTGAAATCTTCATGCTACCGCTTCAAGGTTTTGTAAACCACAAAATGGAGCAAACAAGGCTCTTAAAGCCAACTTCTTGCCTTCTAGAAAATGCATCACACCAGGAAAAGATCAGTTATGCTCATGTGATTCCTGGTAGAGATTTATTTAAAAAATCAGGGTTTTCACTTGAGTAAAAATGCTGTCTCTTTAACAAGAAGCATCATGCCTTGTTCATCTCTACCAGACCAACCAGTTGCTCTCTGTTGCCTTTGTGTTTGGAGGCACGCTGTACTGCAGCTGGTTCCCCTGAGACAGATGAGTAGTTGAAACCACCAAAATGCTTTCTTGTCAGTCAGATCAAAAATTGAAGTAAAGTGGTGTTAGTCCTGGGTTGGATATCTCCATTCACTTTTTTGACAGCAAATCACTTGTTAACTACCTAGAATTTGACTCAAGAACATCTGCAACCTGTCCAGTAACACAATACGATCTTGATGATACTGCTGTCATATTATTATCTTAGTAAGGCTTTTGAGTGTCTGCTATCTTTCACCCATATGGTGTGTTGCTCTATCAGAAAGACAGTAAAAACTTTTTGTTGACTGTTCTGGTGTTCTACTTGAAGAAACTACTAAAAGCTATTTGTCTTCCCCTATGACTGCAAGCAAATAAAATAGGAAAAGTTTATTCTATCAGAAGGCTCCTCTTTTCTAAAAATGGACAAGTTTGTCTCCTCTGAGAAGGTATGGAGAATAGATATTTCTAATTGTTGACAACTGACTACAGCTGTTCAGAACAAGTTTAAATACACTATAGCAAATGTAATCAAACTCATTCGCTTTTTAAAAAACCATTATCTTAGTATTCTCTAGCAAGTTTTTTTTTCTATTCTAGCTTGAGACTTTGCACAATAAATACCAATGACAATGGAGTACTTTTTCTTTTTTGGGGTGGGTTTTTTCTGGTGGTGTGGTTTTTGCTTTTTTCTTTTTCCTTCCACTAAAAATCACATAATTCAAGTAGGAAAGAATTAGGGATTTCCTCCTAAGGTGGTCTTCAAACATACCTGTCTGTCCCTGAGGATAAGATTTGATCACTTATGCTGATAATATGGGAGACCATCTTTACTCCAGTTTGTTTTAAAGAATGAACCCAACACTTACTTTCATTGCAGTGTTTCCATAGCAAGGGCAAGTTACAGAGAAGTGGTCTGAATTTTACATATGTAATAAACTTTTATGTATTTCTACACTTCTTACCAGAAATCAGTTTGTCAGAAGATGGGCTTTTTTCCTTATTTCCAAGTAAGATGACAAGGAAGTATATATTTGAGACAGCCTTTTTGTCCTTTGCTAGATGTTTTTCCTTGTTTATATGGCTCTCTTGAGTAGTGCTGTCTTATTTGGTCGGCTCTTTAGCATGGGAACTGCTCTTACCGGTGCTTTTCCCAGTTTCTAATGGGGATAAAAAGCTGCTTAGAATTTCTGTTACACAAAGAGATAGAATCTGTGAGACTACTTGCTACCAAATGCAGACAGGGTTAGTTTAGACCAGTGAACCTCATATTAACTGTAGCAATACTACAGTACTGTCCGAATTTTTTGTTCATTTGTGGTTTTCATGTTCTCGTGAGGCAAAACAGAAGCCATTTACATCCATGTGCTTAAGGGGTGTATCCATATCCTATCTTCTCAGACTTATTTTAAGTGGGGGTATAATGGCCCTTTCCTCATTGCATGTGTATCATGTAAAACTTTAGAAGTATTCTGTTCTCCTATGTACTATGAAAATTTTACTTGTATATGGAATTATTGGCGACGATCCTGACTTTATTGATGACTCGGCAACGTTTACTAGCTGTGATGCAGTGGAAAAGCAGGGTTTTCTTTCTTCAATTCCTTATATAGGTAGGATAATTTGTCTCAGTCTAGACAGTATGCTACAGTGTAGGACAGCTATTTCCTACTGTGTAGCAGAAGGACGTCTTGTGCTTTGCCTGAGAAACTGTATTCTTGATAAGCTGTTTTCCACAAGCTTGACTTTTCCTTGCTGTAATCTAAACTCTACCTTAACTTTTATAGACACCATGGGAAGGAGGCTTATTTAAACTACGAATGCTTTTCAAGGATGACTATCCTTCTTCACCCCCAAAATGTAAGTAAAATGACTAAAAAACACGGGTTTATTAGAACGGTGTTAAACTAGTCCTTGAGGTTCTATGAACGGTTATTACTTTCTTACAGATTTTTTTTTTTAAAGGAAAGTTGCTTTTTTCTTTTTTTCCCCCCACCCACCACTTTGCATTTAGAAAGTTGTGATGAAATGAGTTAAGTGTCTAATATAACAAAATTGGGAGGGAAGGGGATTGCTGTGTGGGTTTCCTCTAAGTTTGACAGAAGCACCACTTGAAGCGCTTGCTGCTTGATCAGCACTCTTTGGAAACAAATAGGTAGGCATAGTTAGACCAAATCCCTTTGCATGTTCTTACTGTTAAGTTGGTCTTCTAAGCCAAGAACTCAGGAAAAAATAATGGGGGGGGGGGAAGTTCAATCAACTTTAACCTTTTCATCGACTTGCTCTAAAACATGGATCTGTTCTTTTTCTGATACAACAGATATCTTCAGATACCTAGTTTCCTTGTTAAGTTTTAGAATTTTCCTTATTCCAGCTCTAACTTAGCTGCTTTAGAAATCTGAAAACATCTATTGCCTTGCCTAGTTTCTTGAATTGGCTACCATCTCAAATCAATGGCAGTGATTACAAATGGCTTTTTTGACAGCAGTTCATTTCTCATTTCATTTTAGTGTTTCAGCTGTATCCGTTGTCTTGGCTATTCCTTTTGTTTGTTACCACCTAAATACATGGGACACAAGAGGAAACATACCTCTTAACCAGAAAACATTTAACATGAATATCTTGAGAAATACCAACTAGCGCATCCCGCAAGTGCTAAATGAACTGTCATGCCTTAAAATAAGATGTATATGTGACTAGTAAGACTCGTTACCAATGTAGCTTCTGAGTTCCTACTGAACTTCACTGAGCAGCTCATAAGCAAGACTTACTTGTGATGTCAGATGGATTAGAAAACTGCACTAACATGTAGATATTCCATATATTGCTAAACAAGTGTTCATTACATTACTCAAGATGGTGGCTGTTGCATTTAAGTCATGTAAAGATTAAAGAAATGCCAGAATATAGATTGAGTGGCAGAAGGAGAGCCGCACAAGCCTACTCCTTCAGTCAGTCTTGCAATTTAAACTTGGTTCCTCTTCTTCAGTGCATCTTGATTAACATAAAGGAAAAGTGAAACTGAAAAAAATGCTAGAATCTTTGTCATCTTTGTATGGAACTTTCAGTATTTTAAAGTGAGGAGAGAAGAGATGAATGAAGGGCAGTATCTTTCCTTCATATAGTAGTATGTGAGGCTGTGAAGACAGGACTGGTTTAAAAAGGTCTTTATCACAAAGCTACTACAAACTATTTTGTCAGTTTCCATTCCTAAACCAAAAGATTACTGGTCACAATGATAGTGTTACATCACCTGGATCGATACCATAGATGTGATGGAGGTCCTGCTTTAGGTGCAGACTGAGCCAAGAAGAAAACCAGTATTATTAGCTTCAGAAATCTGTGTGGGTTGTTTTTTTGTGGGGGGGGGGTGGCTTTGGCCAGTTTTTTTTGTTTGTTTGTTTTCTTCCACTGATCTAAACCAACTCTCTGATCTTAGTCTTAGCGCTGCATGCAAGTAATTCTCTCTTCTTCATCAGGTAAATTTGAACCACCATTATTCCACCCAAACGTGTATCCTTCAGGCACAGTGTGTCTCTCCATCTTAGAGGAGGATAAGGACTGGAGGCCAGCAATCACAATTAAACAGGTCATTAATTGTACTTAGACATATTCTTAGCCCTTTTATTTGCTTTGCTTGCTTATCTTATGTGAATGTAAGATGTTCACTGTGTGTTCTATAGTTGGTTTCTAAGGGTTTTTTAACTGAATGTCTCTTAGTAATATCCATGCTTATGTTACTTCTATTCCTCCTTCTACAGATCTTGTTAGGAATACAAGAACTTCTAAATGAACCAAATATTCAAGACCCAGCTCAAGCAGAGGCTTACACAATTTACTGGTAAGTATCTTTGCGTATCAGCTTGAAAGCTGTCATATTGCCTACAGCTGTCTATTACTTATAGTATAACATGCAAATGTTTTTAGGAATGATCAGAGGAATTTTCTTACCTTCATGGCTGTATCTTGTGGAGATGCCTAACTTGTGCTAAACTTGAGCAAAACAGTAACTTCATGGTTAACAGGCCAGTGGAGCTTTTAATAGCATCGTAACAGCAATAAAGTGTGAAGACTCCCTTCAGTTAGACCATGATTCTCATTCTGGTTCTAGTCCAACATAGAATCCTTTCCCCTAAAGGCTGAGTAGTAGTGATGAGGCATAATGATTTCGTGAGACCAGTAATAGAAAAGACTGAATTAGGTGACAAGTCCCATTCATCAGTATAGGAGTAACTTCCTTCTGTCCAGTAGTGGGTACCTATAAGCACTTGTGCCTGAAGGATAAAGGAGAGCTTCTGTGATTGCTGTGGGAAATATACGGCATTTTGTGAAAACTAGATCTTCTGAAAGAATAGGTTAAAAAGTACAGAAAGCTTGTAGCTTTAGCAGAATGAAGTTTGCATTGCTTAGGAAAGGTGATAATTTGTGAGCTAAAAAGTACTCTTTTTTTTTTAGGGTTAACCTTAAAATTTTCCCACCATTAAAAATGGATGGCTGATCTATAATCTTTAGGGGAGCAAAACACTTTAAACAAATGCTTTTGGCACTGACAGCTACTGAAATAATGACCAAGATGGAAATGTGGAATTACCGTTCTGGACAGAAGAACAAGTCTCCAGGAGAGTGCCAAGTTTGAAAAATGGCATTTTATGAGACTTCATACGCAAGCTATGTCAAAAATGTCTGTTACAGGATCCTAGTGAAAAGGAAACATAGGGATGGGTAGTGCATCTCGAGTGAAGCCTTCAGTTAAATCCAATGTTATTTTTTTAAGTATCTACTGAAGACTTGATGGGACTGAGTGCATATGGAGGACAGTTAGGTGGCCACAGCTGTAGGGAGCCAGTAATGATGAGGCAGGCCTCCCCCCCCTTTTTTCTTTTTTTTGTTTTAAAAAGCTGCTCTGAGGGAATATGGGGCAGGAATAATACACTTTTATACATGTGTAAGTAGTGTTTTATTTTTTATCACCTCCCACACGCATGTATGTACAAAAACAGTCTTTGCTACTCTTGTTTCTGCTTTATTCTAAGTGCTTCTAGGAAAAAGATCTATTGAGAATAAAGTATTACACGTGGTTTTTGTTACTTCAAATATATAGTTTCCCATTTATCATCTTCATGTCTTTTGGTATTTCAGATGGGTTACCATATTTCTGCAGTCTGAGAGTGTCTCTCTCTTACTACTTAATGAGTAACTGGTAGAAGCAGCTCAACAGAGCAGGACTGTGTACGCACCTGTAATTTGGCATAGTTGATAAACACTGGGGAAGATGCAGTGTTGTTTAAATAGATGTCTTTTAGTCAAGTTGTTAAACTTCAAGAATAAACTTTGTCTTCAAAATAAGAAGACTTGTTCTCATTCCCAGGGATTGCTTTGGTACTGTCGCTCTGTAACTTTAGCACTCCTAATGTGCTAACCTACTTCCTCCTCTCTGCTGCAGGCATGCAGAGTCTACTATGGCAGGCATTCTTTTGTGTGGATTCTGAGGGTGTGAGACTTAACAGCTAGGTTGTGTTCTCATGTGACGGTGCAATATAACTTAAAGACAAATTTTAGAATAAAGTTCGTAAATTTGTTTGAGAAGGAACTAGAGTATTTTCAGTCTGTTTGCTGGTAATTGTTCATTGGATGTGACCAAAATTGGCTTCATTTCTTCTTCCTCCCCCGAAACTGTCAACTGCTGAGGATATAATTTGCTGCCTTTTTTTTTTTTTTTTTCTGCAGCAAGCCTTCATAGCTGAAAGTAAGTTAAGTTTACTGCAAAGCTGTCTGCAAAATCTAGTCACTGTAAACTACCTTTGGCACAAGAGTAATGGTAACAAATTTTTGTTTAGCTCTTGACTGACACTTCTGACAGCTAATACAAATTACGGTGTTGAATGTAAACGGATGCTCTACTAAGCTACTACCATCCCTTGTTGGCCCAAGAATAGAAAACAAAAGAACTTGCCTTTTTATGTGTTGAGGCTTAATGACTGGTCATAGTTCCTTGAAGTAGTACTTGCTTGTTTAATCAATCTGTAGCAAGTATGCTAGACTTAGTGAACTACAGTGTTTTTTCAAAATGTTGAGCTAGCTTTTTTTCAACTGAAGATTAGGATAAACCTAACACTGAGTCAGGGGTCTGCAGAGATAAAGGCTGAAACTACCATACCATCATCACTTTCCCATTCCTTAAAGAGTGCTTCCCCTCTCTCCCCAAAGCAGTAAAATCATACGAAGTCCACCAACTGTTAAGTGAACTGCTCTCATCAACCACTTTGTGCTGTTAGGATACTGGAATATATTGTTAATGATCTCAGGTCTTAACATGGGGAGTGGAAAACTTACGTTCAGATGAGTAAGAATGCTTGCATATAAGGTACAGCTGGCCTTGAGAAAGAGCAGGCGCAAACCTGTTTATAGAGACTGGTATGGTATGAAGTCAGATAGTACAATTGTTTGACAACAGACGAAGTTTGGGAAGTAACTAGTTAAACAGTGCCTTACTTCCCTCCAGAGGAAATTATCAGAGTAATGATCCAGAAAAGCCTTTAATATACTGTAGTATTCAGTGAATTCCTACTTAATGGTTTTGCCTTCAGCAGTGACTTAGTTTCATATTGAAGAGAAATAAAAGAACAGTAACTCTGTAATATGGCCTCTGATTTCTAAAGCTGTAATTACCCTTTCTCTCTCTTCTACTCAGCCAAAACAGAGTGGAATATGAAAAGAGAGTTCGAGCACAAGCCAAGAAGTTTGCACCATCATAAGCGTCTGTCATGCAGCATCTTAAAAAGGAAGGGATTGGTTTGGCAAGAACTTGTTTACAAAACTTTTGCAAAATCTAATGTTGCTATGTACAATTAATATCCACTTAGGGGAGGGGGTTGTATGTGTGCCATTTTCCATATTCGCCACTTGTATACAGTTCTAAATTTGCTGAATTGCCCCCAGTTTTTTCATACAGGGTCTCTTCCTTCAGTCTTTTGTATTTTTGATTGTTATGTAAAACTTGCTTTTATTTTAATATTGATGTCAGTATTTCAACTGCTGTAAAATTATAAACTTTTATACTTCTATAAATTCACTAGTATCTCTAGTTACTTTGCTATCTGATGCAGGCATGCTTTAAAATGTTAGAACTATATTTAGCCTCTAGCTGGCTGTATTTAAAAAAAAAAAAAAAAATCATCCCCCTCAAGGGATAAAAAAAAAACATGCCCTCCACCCCCTTCCCTCCCTGAATTTGTTTTTCTATCTTTCAGAAACTAGGTTGTTATTGCTTAAGAGCCTCTGAGATCCAAAGTCAGCCAGCATCCTTATTCTGCATCACTTCCTTTGTGTTTATATGGCGTTCTGTCTGTGTTGCTGTTTAGAGTAAATAAACTGTTTATATAAAGGGCTTTGTTTCATTTATCTTCATTAAAATCATTAAAAGACTGCCATTTAAATGGCTCTGAACACAATTCAGTGCAAGTCCTGTTTTTAAGGCCTGTGATGCTGCACTTACCTTTTGTTTAGACATTGCCTTGGTTTCTTTTCCTTGCCCCCAACATGAGTGTGGCCTTTCTTTGGGCCCATAGTGGTAATTGCAGCTATTCAGCTTTGATCAGTTCCTTAAACAGTTTACAGAATTCTGACTGGCTAGAGACCAAGTGCTTACTGTGCATAACAGGATCAACATAGCGCTGTGACCACATTAACATAAAATAACACAAGCATTAGACTAATATGAACAGCAATAGAAGCTGTACAAGGAATGCGAGGGGACCTACAGCAACTGGGGATTTTAAATGGTACTTGTTTATCAGAAATATTTCTGTGCCTTCTTCCGTATGTCAATGTATATAGCTTTTAGGAAAAGGACATGCTCTATGCAATTACAGTTTCCTTCTGTAAAGGAAATCAGTTAAATTATGTAAGTTATTTTCATGTATGTCAAGCTGATATGCCCTCTTATTAAACTTTCACTGCTTTTTTAATTGTATTTTTTAGTCAAAATCATTCTGCAAAACAAATGAAGTGTGAAAAGCTTTGTTCCATCTGAGCTGTAGCTTCTTCAGTGCTTTTGTTACCAAAAAACGGCTACTGCTAGAGACTGAAGTGTGATACAGCTCTGTTCTCAGATCTGTTCTGCTTGTCTGCATTTGATTCCAATAGCTTTGTAACATCGAAGCATTTTCCCAAGTCAGAATAGCTAACACCCTTCCATTCTTCTCAGTCCTTTAAAAATTGTTTGTGTAGGATTGCTTCCTTGCCACTATCTAGAAATCCGTGTTACAACAGCTCATTTGGGAAAGACTCCATATGCTTGGGGTGGGAAAGTGAGTAATTGAGAAACTGAGTTAAAGGAAAAGATTCCTTGTTAAATTCATTTACCTGGGCTTTTTTTTTTTCTTGTTAAAGGGAAATGGAATATTTGTACCACTAAAACTGCTACTGTGACTCCCAATTCTAGCTGCAGTAGGGCCAGCATTTAATCTTTCTAGTAGAAGGGGGTTAAGAGGTGAAAATCTTGCTGTGACTTGGAGAACTCGTGTATATACGAAAGTAACACTATGAGTTGTCCTCAGTAGCTCCAAGTCTACTGAAGGGTTGCTGAAGTTTAGGTTTAAATAAGTTCCAGTTGGGTGATGGAAACTCAAAAAAGCATTCTATTTAAACGTACAGAAAACAACTGCTAACAGCTGTACTTTCACTATACAAACTGGCAGGCATATGGAAAAGTGAACTAAGATACTAGTGCTGATGAGAGTCTCTGACTCAAATCTTTAAGGGCCAGACTGTGTATTTCTGACTTGGTAGAGTGGCACTTCAAGTAATGAGAATGCAGGCAGATAGCATTGCTGAACCTGTTACCTGAAGCTTTATGGTACAGTTCTGAATATAAAGTGCCAAAACATTGTATGTTGCTTAGGATGGTCTATCAGAGTAAATAAAAAAAAAAAAATAGCATGTAAAGTTACTGAAAAGATACACTGAGATGTTACAACAATTTCAGGAAGCATTTTTTCCTTTGATGCTTAGGTAGTCGGTTTACCCTAAACTAGATGAAGTAGTAGAAATGCACTATGGCAGGTTCAAGCCTGCAGAAAGTTAGAAGGCTCCTCACGTAGTGGGTACTCTGAACAGGACAACAACTTAGTCACATTTTCCAGTTGCAATATAGTCCAGAAGTTAAAAGGGTTTACTTCATGTACTATTAGGTAAAAATAATACCTATAAACCGCTTTCCAGACATTGATTAGAATACAGGGGTTTTTTTAACTCATAACTAAGCTTCAGGCTCTTTATATAATAATCAGCATTCCATAGACAATTATCTAAAAATTAAATAACCTAAAGCCTTTATGTGCATAATAGACCTATGAACCCACATAGAGCCTGAGGTTCATCTAAAGGAAGGCATTTGCTAAGCACCAAGTTACAGGTGGACAAGCCAGACTTAACAAGAACATTTCTTTATACAAGATGTTACAACTCTTTGGGATCGTTGGGGGATTTTTTTATGTTCTTGTGGTATGTGGTGGTTTTGTTGTTGGTGGGGTTTTTTTTTTTTACTTTTCAAATAGTTGATTTATTGGCTTTTGTTGCAGCGACTTTACAGTACCATCATCTTCTGGACTGCTCTTATCACTGCTTTCAGTGGCATCATCTGGAGTGCTCACGCTGTCCTCCTCGGATTCTTCATTACTTTGTGCTAGTCTGGAAACATTTTTCAGGATTATAAAAGCAAAACAACTTATAATAAGAAAAATAGTATTTAAATTAAATTTCATTACCCTGGGGAATTGATTGGTCTGTTGGGATTAGAGAATTCTTTTCCTGAGTCAACATCAAACGGATCTGGAAAAAGAAGAAAAAAGGGCACACATTGATGAAGGCAGCATATTTTAATGGTCTGCCTTCATTTTCATTTTGAGAGAATATTATTGGCAGGGAGGGGAAAGGCATAGGAAGTCTGGTCCAGCTTTCTGATAAGTTTACCATAGTTGTTTGGTCAGAAACCAGGGGAGGTGAGAAACAACTGCCAAGTCCTGCCCCCCCATTCTAGTCTTTTCATTCTTTTCCATGCCCTTTGTGCCCCACCCCCCCAAGGGATTCAGTAGCTCTTTAGGGTCAGTCAGACTGTACACTTGGGTTTCTAAGGCTTTTGGTAAGAAAACATGGATGTTCTCAGAATGGTTTAGTTCTAAAAGGGCTATTTAGTTAGTTCATGTCTACTGAGAAGTGAAGTATAGCTGTCCAGGTTTAGCTCTTGCCGAGTAAGGGTAGGGCTAGATTTACTTTGGCTTACACAGCTGCGGAGAACTATTACCTCAGAAAAGTCAAACAAGGCATGATAACTTTGGTACTACAGTCCATCCAGAAAATAAACAGGATTGTGGGTGGAAGTGTGCTTTATTTGGCACAGTAGTGTTGCCCCTTAAGAACTGTCTTCAGTTTAATGTTAACGGTAGTTAGGCTTCCACCAAACAACAGGATTATTTTATTGAGCCTAGCATGTCATGGCAAAGAGATCAAAGTTCAGAGAAACTAGAGGCTGTCTACCATAGCCTTACAGTGTGATCCCCTGGCCTATTTTTATGGGACTTGACCACTGTGAAAGGAAAACATTAACTAGCAGTGTCTCTCTTCACGCGTTCTTGACCATTTGATTTGGCTTTTTTGGTGCTGTCCTGAATGAGACCAAGCACTCACCTGTGAATATAGCCTGAAATACTGGGATACCAGTAAGTTACCAGAAGAATTTGGGAATAAACTACCGCACTTATTATAAGCTATTTTCATTATCTTTATAGGTCTGATTTTAAGCATCTTGATTAGGGACTATATAAACATGTCCATTAAAGGTCTTTATGTATAACTAACTTGCTGTCAGATTTTATGCCTGTATTTCTCTTGTAGTCCTCCTGAATTACTAGTCTTTTTACTCATACTCTGCTTTTAACATCTGTAAAATGAGGAAGCACCGTATTTTCTTTTTACTCCTTAGTTCTGCAATATCCTTAATTTAATCAGGGTAGCTGCTCCACAGTTCAGCTGTGAATACACTACTACATGCATTAAATTGCTTTAGTCGTTTTCATTTTTTTGAGTTGGAAAAAATAGGCAAACTTGCTTATAAGAAGAATACACAGTATAAAGACGAAACAATACGTCCCAACAAAGCTCTTATCTTCTACCTTGCCAATATTTTCATGACGTTAAAGGAAAAGACTGTAAAGAAACTAGTTAGGAAAAGGGTGTGTGTGGTGTGTCTGTGTTTTTTCTTACCTATTTCTTCATTTTTTGTTTCTTGGACACTGGCTAAAAAGTCCTTTTCAACTCTCAGCACTTCTTCCTGGCAATGACAGGCTGCATATTTTTCCAAGAGATTTTTGTTCAAGTCAATAAATGCCTTACCCCATTTAAATTTCCTTAGAAGAATGGTGGCTAGGTCTGGGAATCCTAAAACAGAAAATAAATGATCAGTTTTCTTTTTCAGTGTGAGATTTCACTCAGCTTACAGGTTTCTAAGTTCAGTACATACCTATGCATCACTACAATAGTGAGATGTTTGCCAGCATCTTTTCAGTGTTCAGGGAGTCAGACTTTTAAAAAGATGAAAAAACTTTTCAAATTTCAGTTTAACTTGAAATAGCTAACTGAAGCCAAGAAAAGTTCATCATCTTTTAGTGAGTGTTATATAAAAATATTTTGTACGGGTAATGAATGATTCAAGCTCTAGCTGCCACAGTCCTTCAGAAAGAGAGCAGCTGTACATACAATATTTTCAGAAGGTAGGATTTGTCTGCAGTACAGTAGAGCATGTCTCTTCAATTGTCAAGAAAGTTCTGTGATGAGTTTGCAAAACATCACAAGAGGGGGCAATTTCTTTTGTTCTTAACCAGAACCCACCGTATTAACAGAGAACTGTTATCTCTCATTAAGACAAAGGTGCCTACGGAGTCACACTCTGTCTTTTTGGGCTTTTTTTAACAGTTTTCTAACATTAAGTGCCATCCTGACAAAACCAGGATCATCAGTTTATATGTGTCCTGTTAACTAGCTGACATGAATACCCCACGGATACCTCGATGCTACCAGGTACGAGTACTTGGAAGAAAGCTAGACAACCTGATTTCAAACTCAACAAAGTGACGACCAGTAGGACAACATTACAGTTTAGTCTATCGCAGATCATCTCTTCTGATTAAGGATGTAAGAATTGCTTATAACATATTTCACATGAGACATTACTGCCTACCAACAATGCAAAAAGCTGCAGCAAAAGCTTCCACGCAGGACAGCTTGCAGGGCCGACCATAGTTCACAGGATTTGCAGCCACCAAGTAAGGCAGCAGCCGTAGATGAGTTCCTCTCATTCTGTTAAAGGGAGTTTCTTCTAATTTGGCCCATGAGCAATCTATGACTGCAATTCCGCTCTGAGCAATGATGTGCCTGAAAAAAGAAACATCACTGTATTTGAAAAATTGTTATCATTGTATTGATAAAATAAGTTAAAGTGAGAATTACAATTGCCACTTTATACTGGCAACAAATTTGCATACAACCTCCCCCTTTTGTAAGTCAAAAAGCACACGTTTTACAATGATCTAAAATACAGATGCAGTGAGAAAGAATAATAACATGCTTTTCCTCCGAACATGCATGTGGCAAAAAAGGTTTACCCATATGTTTCAAACTGAAAGTGAAAAATTCTAGGTTTAAAAATGTGACAGAAGATTGTGGTTAATAACGTTCACATTCTTAAAAGTACACCAAAGTTCAGATTTAGGTTCTCCGCTAGCTTTTGAAGGCTAATCTTTTCTCCGAGTAAATACATCTTTATAAAAATTCTGCAGGCACGTTTGAAGAAAATTCTCAACGTTTCCCCCAAATAAGTTTTCTAGTTAATGCATCGTGTTGCCTAGCCTAAGAACTTGAATATGGCATCATAAAAGACACAGTAGCTATAGGCCCGTGATTCTGAACAAATGAACCTACAAACCACATACTTTGATTTCTCACTGGAATCTACAGATGCTTTTTTCACCCAGTACCAGCTGTGCAAAAATGTCAACCTGATTTAATAAAATGGCTCTATTTCTCATGTTCATGCACTGACATGATGTAACAGGAAGGTCAAACTTATTCTAGCAGGGCCTGTTGCGACAGGTCGAGGAGGAATGGCTTTAAACTAAAGGGGGGCAGATTTAGACTAGATATAAGGAAGAAATTTTTTATGCTGAGGGTGGTGAAGCACTGGCACAGGTTGCCCAGAGAGGTGGTGGATGCCCCATCGCCAGAAACATTCCAGGTCAGGTTGGACGGGGCTCTGAGCAACCTGCTCTAGTTGAAGATGTCCCTGCCCACGGCAGGGGGGTTGGACTAGATGACCTTTAGAGGTCCCTTCCAACCCAAACTATTCTATGATTCTGTGATTCTGTAGCACAGTTTTGGCCACGAATCAGCAGTTAAAATGTTCTCCCCGATAATCCCTTCCTGCAGCGTTTGGGCCAAGCGCCCTTCCTCGCGGCCTGTGCCTCCGCAGGCTTTGCGAACAGGCGGTGAGGTCGCCTGGGTGCGGGCCTCACCGGGGACTTACCTGTCGGCCGGAGAGACATACTCAGCAGCCAGAGGACTGAGGACGAGGCCTGGGAATCTCTGGCGGAGGTGCAGGGTTCGGAGCAGCCCTTGTCGGGCCAGTTTCCTGCCGGTGCATTTCTTGGGATCGCAGTGTCCGAGCTCCCACATGGCAAGAGGGCACGGGAACTTCGCCTGCGGCCCCCTCGCCCTCCAGGCCAGGCAAGCTGAAAACGGCAGGCGCGCGTTAGTGCCCAGCGGCCGGC